CATTTGCTACTTGATTGACATGCAGGGCAGCCAGTCTGAGATCTTGTCTTTTCTGACACACGAGTCACCAAACATGCAAAGTCAACAGCACGAGCTACTGCAAAACTCCAGTGAGCGAACTACCTTGTCAGCCTTCAAATTAATTTCTACTAAAGGGTATAAAATGGGTGGGGGAGCCGAATCAAGTAAGAAACCGAAAACGTACCAAAAACATTCCATGTGAAATGGGAGGAGGACTTTTTTTCGCAATGTTATATTCGAAATGCGTTTGCTTGATCTATTGATCTACCATCACTATTCCGAAGAAGGGAAATGTAGAGCGGCACTTTCAGACTGTTCATAAAAACTAGGACACTCATTCATACATATATTGTGTGTGCGTGCGCGTGTAGGCCGATCATTTTGACTTGGTAATTTGAAAAGTAGCTCGCAAGGCGAAAAAGTGTGGGCACCCCTGGCCTAGGGAATAAATTTATGATGGCTTGTTGGATGGTGGCTGATTTAACAGGTTGAAAATAACAGAGAATATATAATCTGTGCAGCTCCAGCGGCAGCTTTGAAGCTTTAACTAAGGTAAGAATAAGATCAAATTTAAAGATGTAAAGATCCAAGTAAAACCAAGCATCAAAGTAAGACAGTGCCCAAGCACATGTAGCCATAGCTTTAATAACTTCACATACACATAATACAAATACATATATCATTAAGAGGCACTTCAGCTGCTAAACGTCACTAAAAAGCTTTGACAAAGATTGATACTACATGAATATTCTTTCATATGCACTGAACAGTCAGTGCACATGAGAATCCACAGGTACAATATAACTGAAACAAAGCAAAGAGTTCTCAGATATGAGCATCTGACCGACAGCTGAGATGCATGCAGATTACAGAACACGGACACAAATCTTAGATGGGTTATATTTAAGGACCAAATGGCTCATAACAATGGTTCCAGCACCTGTACTGCTACAGTACCCCCTGAAAGACCCCCTTAGGGACAAGGTCACAGGCTTCCTCCAAGTCCTCAAAACACATGTTCACTGGCTGGGCAAACTCCCATGACCCCTCCAGTAGCCTTAAGGTTTGGTCCTTGGAATCTGCATTGCTCCTAGAAATTAATGACACTAAACGGAATGACAACAATCTATTTATTGTCATTAATTATAACTTACCACTGTTCTACTGCTAATTGTGACTTACAGTATTGCCATCACTTTCACATGTTTAGAGGTCTGAAGAAATCAAATTATCCAAAAATGTACAAGGGAAACAAAGGAAATTAGCCTGCACAGTTCCAGCCCTCTGAATTGTTGACTTTTCAGATTTGTTCTGCAATTCTAATAGGTCTAGTCTAGTAAGACATTTGCTTGTGCCTGTTAGAAAAACATTCAGCCAGTCAGATTGTCTGACTTTGTCTGGAAAAACGAAGACAGTGGAGGCTCATCCAGATTGTGTCCTTCCTACAGCTCTCACACTTAAAGCACAGAACTGATGTACTGTATGCATGCAGTACAGTATGAGGTGTGGTTATCAAAACACAGTGTTCAAACTGGCTGGAGGACTATGCATGCTCTCCTGTGCGCCCGCGTGGGTTTTCTCCAGGTTAACTGGCCCACAGGTGTAAATGGGCTCACTTGAGATGAGCTGCATCTCACCTGGATAGTAGACAAGAGCAGATGGCAATGACAGAAAGCTGCAGTCAAGATGAACAATATTTTCTTGCTTTCTTTGCTTCCTTGCTGTGTCACCTACTACACACTGGCTCATACACTTTACATTGTGGTGACATCACAATAGTAAGACTCACCTCTGTTGGCTGTGGGAAGGTTTTACAAACATTAAAAATAAATTCATACTGTAATACAAAGAGTGATAATTGACCTCATTTGCAGTTGGAGGTGTCCTGTCAGCAGTTTTACAGACATTTCTTTTGTCATTGTGGTCTATGGAGCAAATGCATGGAGCCCCCAGTGAGTCACGTGACAGGAAAAAGAATAGGTGAGAATCTGTGGGTTTAGTAAAACAATCATGTTTCTTGGTTTACTAATCCATGGGCTTAGTATAGCACAGATTAATAAACTGAGTGCACAGATTTCTAAACCTTACATATGGACTGGGTCCGCAGACTCACCTTTCTCATCTTAGACTCATCGGATGTAAACCATAAATTGCCAGCACAACAACAGTAAAGGTAGCAGCCAGTATGTTACATGTTAATGACTTATCTGTCGACATTTTACAAGTATGCTTTTTGGGCTAAAGGACAGCGATAGCATCACATACAGCTCTCTTAATATACCCATGGGCTGCCCCCACCCCGGCTTTCTCTTGGCTCATGAGCATTAGACTGTGGTGACATCACGAAAATAAAGCTCACTGTTACAGTACAAGTGCTGGGGAAGTTTTACAAACAAAACCTCAACAGATAAAAATATATACTACAAAGAATGACACTTGACCTGGTTTGAAGGTGTCCTGTCAACAGTTTTACAGGCGTTTCTTTTATCATCACGGTCTATGGACAAAGTGCTTTTTGGGCTGTAAGGGCATTTTTGTTGAAATACCACAAGTGGCCACTGGGGAAACTGGGGGAAGGGGCTGAGCGGCAGCGCCATAAGCAACATAAAATGCCGCAGACAGTGAACAGGCAGCTGACTGGTACTGCCGCTGGTGGTATGGAGCCCAGTGCCAGTTGTAACTCTGCAAACTGAAGGCTACAGTTAATACAGGTAAAAGCTTTTTTATCCAGCAAAACAGTTGTTAACAGCTCTTCAATCTCAAAACAAATAACATACTTAGAGATGTGCTAGTTTGCACTTTCAGAACAGCTGCCCGGTCAGAAAAGCTCACAATGTCAGTTAACAGTTAAATTTCTGTGTTTTCTCAGATGATTTAAATAATCACTGAATGTTTCCAAGCTGTGACAACTGTGTGTACTAAATGCACACAGTTTTGGAGAGGCATGAGTGTGTGTCTGTGCCACTCAGGTGGCCTAAGCAAGAGGAAACAAGTGGAAAAATAATTACTGAGATCTTTGTTTTGTATCCCTGTAGGCTGGGTCAGGTCAAGAACTGATGTGAAGATAATACTGTAGATAAGGGGTATGTTCTGATGCCAAGCTTTCCAGATGAGAGAAATTAAAGAGTAAAGACTCCTCTCTACTGTAAAACAGTGTCAGAAACTGAGGAGACAATGACACTGCCGATGTTCCCTTTTTCAGTTCAGGTTTTGTTTTTAATGCCAAATTTCATTTTCATTGCCAAAATTTAAAGTCCTCATCCTGGCTTCAAATGTGCAGAAGCCTGGACAGAAGCTGAAAAATGCCTTCCCATTTATCAAAATGTGTTAGGTTTCGATTTTTTCATTGCATACAAACCTAGATAAGGATACAAGGTTGTTTTTTCATCAAGCACCGCTCACGGCTCACACTGGAGTACACCAAGTCTCATGGCAAGCCATTGTCACTCAAAACCATAATGTGGATCTCATGGCTTTATAGTTAGAAAACCACCAGAGTCAGCAGAATTCTTTTCTGGAGCTCATGAATGCCTGAGCATAATTTAATCAAAATCTTATATCTCTCCTTACAGTTATATATCTGGACCGAGCTGATGGACCGACTCAGACTCTGTCATATTAATAAAGATGTTGTAAATGTGGCAGTTTTAGACCAAGCTGCATGAAGACATTCCCCTTCTGAAACAGAAGTACAAAGAACAAGTACAAACAAATTTGACACAGCAAATTCTGTGCCCTCAGAGATTTAGATAAAGGTAAACAGTTCACCAAGACTGTGCTTGTCAAAATCACTCTACAGTCTATGATGTCAGTGGTTACTCATCATAAAAATATATTTACCTAAGTTATTTCTCAGTCAATCTAATTTTGAAAACAAGTGAAGAATTCTTTTTGTTTTAAAGAAACAAAGTTTGTGTCGGTAACTTCGAAATTTGTAGAGAAATGAGGTAACTCACTCGTCTGATCTGTCTGAAGCCAGTTAAAACATTTTTTTTCACCCAATCTGTTTTCTATACCTGTGATTTGCAGTCAGCAAACAAAATTTTTCTGCAGATTTACCACCACATTCACAAGCTATAACTATGATAACTTTTAATTTAATCATTCCTTCAAACTGCCTGTAATACCCAGCACAGACCCAGCAGGCAACTAAATGATGGCAGCTTGCAAGTTTTGTGTTGCTCTGACTTTGACACACTACACAAACATATATCACAGATAACTTACAAGACTCCCCAAACTAAAACTAACAAATCCCAAATCTGCTGCAACTGAGACAACAGTTCCATCCCTCTTATTCCTCTGCTACAGTTTGTCAAGAATAATACATTTACATTTTTAGATAGAGAGAATTCCTCTCAGGATTGCTCAGATTTCATATAAATCCAAATTCAGCCAAACTGTAGCCTTCTCAAGAGGAAGGACACACTACAGTAGTGAACAAGTATGCAGCCAGTGGCAACAAGAATCAAAATAAAAGCAGCTGGCCAAAAGGTCCAATAGTCCATAAGTCTATGCAGGACCCTCAACGTTAACAGATGTCACAGTAGCCATGAAGCAACGCTGGAAAAGGCGGTCAGGGTCTGGGGGCTGGTTGTCACAGTCCAGCTTGCCCCTCAGGAAGTGTTTCCTGAGGCCTTGTGGGCCAGCAGGGGCATTAGTATGTCTCAGTCCTGGTCCCTGAGGGCTCGATGTCGAACCTGGAAGGCAAAAAATAATAAATCACATTCATTCATTCAACAATACTTTCACTTTCACAGTTAGTGTGCAAGAATGTTTTTGAAATCGTGATAATCCTCTATGGCTTTGTCACTACCAGCTAAAACCTCCACGTTACCATTGGACTTTGGTCCATAATTAATAAAAAACATTGCTTAGTCCAGCTTAGTTCATTTCCAATGTTTCTGCATGACAGAAACAAGAACCAGGCTTTAGCCAAGATTGTTTTATAACACACAGGGCTCTATTATCCACCATGAGAGAAGCAGCGTCTACCTGGTGATTCTTTGTTAGATCGTCTTCATCTGTTGCTGCACTCACCATGTGTCAGCCTGCCAGAATGACTTTCAGACCACTTACCTGCCCATGCTCACACCTGTGAAGAAGAGAAGAGACCACCTGACTGGCCTCAGCCTTCCGTCTACTGCTGGAGCCAACCACTGGATCAACCTCAGCTTCCTGCCCACTTTAGAGGCCGTCTACCTGAGTGGCCACCCACCTGTACCACCCCAGCTCTGTCTGCTGCCGAGACAGGCCACCAGAACAACCTCTACTAGCTGCCTGCATCAGGAGATACCACTCTGAACAGTTCCGGCTACCTGCCTGGTCCCGGGGACACCCCCCTGAGTGGTCTTGTCTGGCTCCTGTTTCCTCCCACACAGCGAAGTCAGACTGCCTTTACCTGTGCATAACAGGATTAAAGGAAATGTCTGCAGGGTGTTTGTCATTTATGCTGGCTCATGAGCTGCTCACATGTGTTGTGGATTTTTTTAAACGTGGATTTGGATTCTAAACTTCTACATGCACTACATACATGCACATCCTCAAAGATCCCTAAACTAAACTGACTAACTACATCTTCATCAGGACAGACCGTGTGTCCTGATGTGTGCCAACACTGATGATATTCCTGTCTCCAGCCATGTACTGAGAACTCATTTGTCCTATTTCAAAATATCCTTTATAAATACCACATTGCATGTTACAGATAATTTCACCATAAATTACTCAAGAGTGAATTCTGGCAGAGCAGTTGTGAATTTGACAGTTCATTGTAAGATGATGTGGCCATTAAAATACACAAGTACCTGATCTCATGCTTACCAGCCTACGTGCTTGTCAGGAAAATTGCAAAGCACCCGTGATTGCCGTGAGAGGTGGTCTGACCAATTATTGCTATTTTGGGCCAAAACCAGCACCAAAATTGCACTGCGCTGCTTAATTAGCATACACGACCTCAACTGCTCCTCTCCTCCCACTTCAACATAAGCATATTCATTCATGCAGGAAAATACCAAACATACCAATGTGTAAAAAAGCCGAAATGCACCTGAGGGAACTTGCATAAGGACTGTGATTGAAGTGACACAGAAATTGCGCTGGCAGGAAAATAGACCCCATAGTCTCAATAAACTGAAGGACAGCTCACAATAATCGGCTGTGAAATCGCACCAGTTTATAAGTTTTACATAATTAAGATGTCTCAGGGTCATGTTGGTCCAAAATCTCCCATAGGTGTTTAACTAGGTTGAACTCTGGTGATTGTAAAGGTCATAGCATATGATTCACATAATTTTCATACCCAACAAACCATTCAGTGACCCCTACAAATGGGGTCAATGTCATCCTGGAAGAGACCACTCATTTATCCAGGTTTTCCCTTTCAAGTTGTCACCTGTCTAACTGATCTCATGGACAAAAAAAGATGCAATTAAACACTTTTCACATCTCTGGAGAAATCTTACATCTGTGCCTAAAGGGAGGTTTAAGGTAAAGGGTATACTTTTCTAAAATCTCTCGCAGGGGTGTCATACGTACGGCCCGAGGGCTGGGGGGGTTCAATCCGGCCCGCAGGATGAATTTTGAAAGTGAAAAAACGCATAAAAGACATGAACTATAAATTTTTAATAAAATGCTATTCCTAAATTATCCGCACTGTTTTAATCAGAGTAGAAGAAGCGGCCCAACTAGTCTACCTGGTCTCCTCGCCCTCACACCCTCATTAGCCAAAATGTCTTTGTCAAAAAGGTGAAAAGTGGACGTAGAGTGTAGAATTTTCCAAGAAAAATGGATCACTTCCCATATATTCACAGAGATAAACGGAAAACCTGTGTGCCATCAACAACTGTCGGTGCTCAAGGAATATAATATTCGGAGCCACTATGAGACTCATCATGGCGAAAAATACGACAGCTGAGAAAACAAGATAAATGAATTGCTGGTGGGTCTGAGGAAACAGCAGTCCCCTTTCACCCGGAGCCGAGAGGCCTGTGAAGCAGCAGTAAAAGCCAGCTACATAATTGCTAATGAAATTGCAACAGCATTAAAGCCGTTTTCCCACGTTGAGTTCGTCAAAACATGCACGATGAAGGCTGCAGAACTCGTGTGTCGATAAGCTTTTGCCAACATTTGTCTGACGAGGATGGCAGAGAGGATTTCAGAACTGTCGGCAGATTTGGTCAGCCAGTTGAAACACAAAGTCAAGTCATTTCTTACATTTTCTATTGCAGTTGATGAGAGCACTGACATTACACACATTGCTCAGCTGGCCATATTTATTCATGGAGTTAATGAGACTTTGACCGTCACCGAGGAGTTCTTTGAATTGGTGCCTGTGATGGACACAACAACAGCTGAGGACATGTTTTGCTCTGTGGTTGGAGGGCTGGACAGAGTCGGAGTGGATTGGTCCTGCGCCGTCAGCCTGGCTACAGACGGTGCGCCATCAATGATGGGAAGAAAGGCAGTTGTTGTGACAAAATTCAGAGAGTAAGTACAAGTCACTAATGGAGGCGCTAGTTTCTGGACATTTCACAGTATTTTGCACCAGGAGGCATTGTGCTGCAAGTCGGTAAAAATAGATCACGTTACAGAGGTGGTTATCTGAACTGTTACTTTCATCCCAGTCAGAGGCCTGAATCATCGTAAGTTTGACCGCCTTCTCAGCGACAGTCACGTTTTATCAGTATCTCTTCCCAGGATACCTCATATTAACAGTCCTGGCTGCAAAAATGTTGTGCATGTTTGGGACAACCTACCTTTGTGATCAAGTTTTCTCAGTAATGAACATCAATAAAACAAAATTGCGGTCAAGGCTAACACACAAGGCTAAATGACCTTCTGAGATTGGCTGCTACTCAGGACATGAGGCCTGATGTTGATGCACTTGTGCAGACCAATAGATGCCAAAACAAAGTAGTCTAGACATGACTAACTGCTTCAAAATGCTGCTTCAGACACTGATTGCACTAAAAGAATACAGTTCTGTGAAAATGAATATAGAAATTGTTAAAAACATGCAATTTAATGTAAGCCAACAGCCTCATTACAAAAGAGTTTGGTTTGGTGGAATCCTATTGTTCATGCAATGCCATACATTTTAAAATGCAATACTATGTTTTTCAGTTCTAAATATCTGTGGCTGGTTTTTGTATTTGTACAAACACTGTGGCCAGTTGTAATGCACACATGTAAATGATAATCAGAAGCAGATTGCACGTTGATCTTATGTTTGTCGTAATAAATCCAAGGTTGTTGCTGATATGTTTTGTAAAAGGATATTTAATTAAATATGAAGATTTTCCTAATGTACTTATACTTCTTTGCATGAAAACAAAGGGAAAACATGGAATTATTGTTATTTATAGGTAATTATGCTATGATTGTGCTGGTCCGGCCCACTTGACATCTATTAGGCTGTATGTGGCCCCTGAACTAAAATGAGTTTGACACCCCTGGTTTAAAGGCTATTAAAGATGCCAAGTATGATTTAATGTCAGTAACACAAGTTATCACTCTGTAATGCTTACATGCCAAACACATAACATACATTACAAAACACCTCAATATTAGTGAGCTTCTGAAGTGTAGTTTTGAAATTCAGACAGAGCCAGACCAGCTGCTAAACTAATTACTTCTTGGCTCAAACTTCACATTTAGGGTAGAGATATGAGAATAGAATCTTGTTTAATTTTTGTGTTTTTTGGAATGAATGAAAAAAAATTAATGGCCCTGCTCTGGATGCCAATTACAGCCCAAATTTACATGAAATTAAATTAAAGTACAAAGTAAATATATTTTCTGCATTGCACTGGGATAGCAAAGCTCTGCTTATAATTTGTAACCAGCTGGTGTAGGTAAACATTTCTTTTCTCTAAGGTGGAAGTTCAGTGATGTAAAAAAAAATTACTTCATATACTATACCAACCTGAATAAAAATCATTCTCCAAGTAAGCATTGGCGAGCAAACAGAGTGCAGAATAGACAAGTTTTGAAGCACTATACATGTTTTGAGCTTACGTGAGTATTTGTGCTGCTAGAGACAAATGAAATTTCCTGTGTTGAGTTTCTTTTAAGTTGTTTGCTTTGGCATTATAGATCCTTTACATGTCAATTCCATGAAAATAAGCTCAGTCCCATAGTTCCTTTCAAACCCTTTGGTCACCCATTAATACAATATATGGTATATCAGAGGATTACAACAATAATTTGTGCATTTTTTAGACGTGTAAGCAGAATGTGTCCTGCTGAGATGGTGCTGTAATCAGTACCTGGTGCTCGGAGCGGCAGCCCGTTGTCCAGGCTTCTGGGTTTGGTGGCAATAAACAGATAGCAGAGGACACACAGAGTGATGATGAAGGCCAGAAGAACCACTGCTGCTACAGAGAGACCCACGAGAGCTCCGAGACTATAAGGCAGAAAACAAACACACCGTGTGGCCGTTAGACGAAGTGTATGAAACATTGTCACATGCTACTGAAATACTAGATACTACTGAAATTCCTCTCACACAGTAGTGAATATGCTCACACACATACTATTGGATGGCTTTCATTTGTACAGCATATGAGCGCACTTTCATTTGTAATATAATTTTGTAAGAACTATCTCAGTAGTGAATGACTGAGTAATTTTAGTATTATACGGGAGTGATTTCATGTAAAAAGGAGGGCAATGTAGTCTGAGAGAGTCTTTATGTGGTTTTACTGGTCTGTTCTCAGGGTCAGCAGTGTGTTGTAAAAGGATCTAAGAAATCCCAAGGCATGTGTTTTCTTAACCATTGTCAGACAGTTATGATGAGGCAAAGTCATTCAGTGATTTTCAAACCAGTGAAGGACTTTTAACAAGAATTCTGTTCCACAAAGGCGACAGGTAATGTGAGCTCCATCTAGTCTTTGTCAGAACACACGCTGCTATGTAGAAGTTGTAACTGATGACTAGCATTTCTTAGATAAACAAGACAAGAGTATTGCAATAATCCAGCCTGTTAGAGATGCTAGAGAAATCATAAAATATTGTTTCTGAATCAGCATGGGAAACTGATAGAGCAAATAATTACCCCGTTAAATGTGGCAGAAAGCGCTCCGCTCTTCGACAGTGGTCTCCCTTGAATCTGAGCAGAAACAGCTGGTAGAAATAATATCCCCCTTATTAAAAATGAACATTAATATTGGCTAAATGAACAACAGCAGAAGTAAAGCACACAAGGAGAAGGCTGGTGGAGGGGGCTGCAGCAGCAAACACTGTCAGCATCAATTTATCATGAATGAAACAGTTGATGCTAAACTTTGTTCTCTGCTTCAGCTAACAATATGCGCTATACGGTAATAGCATGTTTCTGGTTTATTCCCTTTTTTAAATCTTTCCATATTTTTTCTCTGTAAGTGTTAGTTGGGCAGATGGCTTTGAGTCACGATCTCACTCTTCTTTGTCTGGATGTGACTATTTTAGTTCAGTAGTTTAGTTTAGTTGCTCAGAGATGGTGCATTTGGCAATGGGAGCTCATTCAGCAGGTGTCAGACAACAGGCATTATGCTCGTCTACCCTCATTTGCAAGGACAAAAGGTGAATATTTAGATTCATATCTCAACAGACCAAAACTACAGCTAACTTGTGATGTGTCACTGTGAAAAGTCAGTTTTTATTATTGATATATACACTGAGAACAATGCTATTTTTATGATATCAATACTGTATTCTCAACAATGTCTTTCTGTAGAAGCAGTACGGTGTTTTGGGAAATGTTTCATGGCAGGAAAAATATTACAGTATGGTGATATTTTTACTGTTAATCTCAGAATAATAGCTGGTAGAGTGGAAGTAAACGAAGTCCATCATATTCAGATGGAAAGTAAATTGATACTGAGTAAAGGATATTTATTACCTTCTGAATTTTACACCCATTTGTCATGAATTTGTACTTTTGATCAGATGGGTTCTTTCCTCCTCCCCACAAAACTGAGATGGAGGGGGAGCTTCATTTGCTCTGCCTGGTGAATGTCCCATTACGTGACATGCACAGCAGCCATTAGGTGGACACAACACCTATCTGTGCATTATAGAGAGCATTTACAAAGGAAGCCTCTGACCAGGCAGCAGTTTATCTCACTGGCTGTGTGAGGCCATCACACAAGCTTGTGTTGTCATCTGTGAAGGATCCCCCACATGACATCTGTGCTGAGTTGATGAGAGCCATGTTCTCCTCCACAGCTCTTTTCAGTGGAATGGCTGTGGAGGCTGTCTGTGCAGCGGCACTGTGGGCTTTAGGGCTGCAACAGCTAATCAATGAAATCAATAATAAAAATAGTTGACAACAAATTTAAATGTTGATTACTTGGGGCCAGTCACATAGCTGTGTAAGATGGCCAAGAGTAGACACAGCTGGGTCAGCGACTGAGTGGGTGCTACTGTTCCACTCTACAGTTCGATAGGTGACGGTAACACACCTGCAAGTTGGTTTGCCAGCCACCAATGAAAAGAAGAAGAAGACTAGGTGAGTATGTCAGTGAGACATATCAAAACATCTGTTTACAGCTGAGAAAGGTGGATGGCCAAGTTGTCTAAACTTTGAGAACACTTTATTTTACAATCACAAAGAAGATTGTTTGGTACCAAATTTGCAAAACGTATCTGTAGTGGCAGGGAAGCATGAGGCTAATGCATTAGCACCTAAAGAAAAGACAAGTAGAATTTAATGTTACAGAAGAAGCGAACTTGGAGATAATGTTAAAGGTAGGGTTGGCAGTTCATTTCAGAAGCATTTTTTTTATTTTCTCATCACTGCTGTCAGTGCATTTAATGTGTTCACTGCCACTGACAGCATAAGGAAAAAAGATCTGTCATCTGTGGCAGCAGCAGGGCTGAAAAATGCCTAACCATTAATTTTACTCGCCCCAAGCAAAACCACTGAATGGCCTCCCTGCCTGTCAACCTAACTTCCTACTTGTGCGCACTCTGCCCATGCACTAATTGCACACACCAAGAGTCTCCCACAAGGCTGTTCTGTTTATATAGCTAAAGCTAGCAAGCTATAACAGAGAAGGTACCCGCAGCAGCGTTTGGTTGCAAATGGAGGCCACATTCAAGAAAGTTACAACTATAAAGAAGCTGGATGCTGCAAGAAGTAAAACCAGAACTAATATCAGTGTGACTTTTGAACGATGGTGAGAAAACAAAAGGAGCTGAAAAGTGGCACCACAGTGGCCGTAGTAAGTCACTGATTTTACTTAATGTGATTATGAAACAAAAATTATGAGGTTCCTGATTTTAAGTAATGTGGTTATGCTGTTACATATATTACAATACAAGTCGTGTTTTGTTCAATAATACACTACATAGAAACATTGCACAAGCATTGTTTAGATGAATGCACCTGTTCTTGTAATGTGGAAAAGAGATTTCTGCATGTTTTTATACATACCGTTTAATCGATTAAGCATAGAACTAATCAACAGATTAATCAATCTGTCATTAGTCATTAGTTGCAGCCCTAGTGGGCTTCACATATCATTTTATTTGTTTTTATCTTCGTGACGTGTCTGAGTCTTCCTTTACTCTGTGCTGAGCTCAATGACCAGTGGACCACCGTCACCTGGAGGGCATTACTCAGACACACACTGCCATAAACAAAGTGCTCCTTGTGTTGCAGACAGACACATGTTGCAGCCTCTGTTGCCTTATTTGCTACAGCATTTGGACGGTTACAGTGCGTAATGCTCATCTCCGTCTGCTCTCACAACATAAGGTTGCTGATGTGTGTTCTGCTGTGTGCACCCTCTCGCCGTATGCCCTTCCTTGCCGTTTTCTGTCCCCGACCTGTCTGCTCTGGTTGAGCAGAGCAGCCAGAGGGGGCTTTTACAGTGCATAATTATTGTCATTGCTCTTTCACAGCAGTAGTCAGACTCTGTGGAAGGTGTGTGGTAATGACCCACTCTACAGACAGGGCCTGTTGCAAGAGAGAGAGATCCATCATTGCCCTTATCCCAAAAGAGACCCCTCTTACAGGACAAAGCCTATATGGAACAGAACATTGGTTACCCCAAATTCTACGATTATAGGTGCAGCCCTCTAAGCTATTGGCCCCGCTGGCTCCACATCCGACAGCTGAAGGAAAAATACTTGCTTACTGGGAGCAGAGATCAGGTCAGATAGGTGAGGGAGTTAGTCCAGTGCAGGGCAAAAGGACACCAGAGAAAGTCACTCATAAAATCAGAGGTTACAGTATGTAACCAGTGTTACTGCTCACCCTCAAAGGCCGATATGTGCAAGATCTCTAAATTACGTGTTAATGTGCTAAAAAAATCTGGAGCAGCAGAGTGAGTGAGTGGTGCGTTCATGTCTAATCATACCTACTCTGTATCTTGAAAGCAGTAAGTACTCCAATAAAATCACTGCTGTGTTTCAGTGGCGTTCTTATTACACACGATGACATGAAATGATGCAGAATAGCCAGTTACCTGGTGGGGACAGATATCTCAACACAGCTCAACAGATCTGGGATACCAGACAAAGTAGGTGAGGTATATACTGTAAGTCTGACTTCTTCCTACTCCGTTCAACCATGTACTAGGTATAAGTAAATTGATATTGGATTAGCATTTGTTGGATATGTGTGAAATTACATTTGTTGACATATCAACTGTTTTACATGCTTGAATGAATAAATCAAATCAAATCAAAAAATCAATAGCTATAGGTATAACTATAACTATATTTTTTTTTGATCAGCTGCAGCTCAAACAGCTTTGATTTTGTGTCATTTCAACCAATGCCAAATGTAGAAACAGCACAGCATCTCAAACGGGGAAGCTTACCTTTGGTTGCAACAGGTACATGGATGTACGGGGTAGGCACAGAGTAGCAGTGAAAGTGTCTATAGCAACATTTACCACCGGTGCCCTTGAGGAAGGCACTTCACAACCCCAAACTCCATCTTTTCTGAAGAACCACCAACAAGACAAACTGTTCTGAAAGCTCAAACAGATCAGCTCAAATGATAGATACCCTTATAAGTGAATTGGCTATTGACCAATCAAAAAGAAATACAATTATACATTATTTTGTACTGTATGTTAATAACGGCCACCTACAAATAAACAATACTTTAATGAAAATATTTATCATATACAACACGCTCACAATGATAATAAAGTCTCAACTGTCACGCCTTCTGATGCACATCGCGCTCAGGGGAGTTTATCTTCTATGATGCATTTACACCAGCGCCTGATGCGGGTACATTTATCCTCCTCACATCTGGCGCGTATCCTCGTAGGGAAACATCTGCAGTTTAACTCATTTCATTCATCCTTACCTTAACCACCACATGTACCCATATTTGTAGGGGAAAAAGCTGTTGGGGTCATCGCAGCAGTACTTCAAGTCGCTGAACCCGCAGCAGAAAAGCGCCGTGGTGTCACTGTCCGCTTTCGGACACGTGAAGCCCTCCACGAACACGTTCTCTATGCTGTAGTAACTTTGGCAGTCCGAGCTCATATCAGACGCAGCTGTACGCGCATGGACAGCCGGATGCGGTGTGGCGCACATTAACACGCGGTCTCATTCCGTTTGCCTCACTTGTGCAAGTTCACATCAGCGCCAACAATCTGATCCAGGAGGCGCAGAACTGACAGTAAGGCACACGCTCCCACCTCTCTCTCTCTCTCTCTCTCTTTCGCCCTTGCTCTGTCTATGAACATATAAATATATACATTCTAATAACCTACAAATTATAAATTGATTATAGTCTATAATCAACACTCCTGATACCTAAACCATTAAGCAGATACACTTTTAAAGTAATTAATAATTAATTACCTAATAAATAATAGCTAATTAATCAAATGAAACGCTTGTATTATGTTGTATTTTGAGGTGAGAACTCTTCAGGAAGCAGCACATATTGTAGCTATTGCAGAAAAGGGTGAGATACTTAGGACCACTGGACCAGGATGTTAGAAACCTGTTGTAAAGGTGCAGCTACATGCTATCAGCCTTGTCCTGATTGTGGGTCACAGATTGGATCATTTTTCAGAATGCAAAGCAAAACAGCAACAACAACAATTAAAAGTTATAATTTATATTTGTAACAGATGTTAATGGCTGTTTCCATGACGATAAAAGTCCAGAAAGCTTGCAGGTACCACACGTTCTTATTAATGTTGGCATGAGCACACAACTGCTTTGTCTGTATCTTTTCACTGCAAGTCTGCATTGATTTAGGGAATTTAGCTTTATGTGTGCTGTACAACCCACAGACAGGTTCAAAGTCGTTTCCCACCTCCCTAAGCCCCTTTTATAATGCTTTTCCAAATACAAGCAGCAGCATCACACACACCACAGACACTATTCTGCGTTTACATTCTCCCAGGCCCTGGCAGGTGAACGACTTCAGGCTGGGATCTGTGGGGTACCAGTGTGTAGTCTGTCATATCCCTGATCCAAGACGTTATGACTATAATCATGTGATCTGACATAGTGACCACTGTATCAGGCAAAGAAATCATGTAGTCTGAACCAGGCATTATAATAATTTAATATTCATGAGGGATAGAAGGTTAATGTTAAAGGTCAAAACTACTTATTAGAATAGAACAGACTGCTCTTTATTGTCATTGTACCAAAACAATGAAATTATAAAAGCTACAACTGTACACAGTTGTAGCTTTTATAAAGCTGAAGTGCAAGCAAAGCATCAAATATTTGCATTAAAATATAATATCACGACCTTGTCTCAAATCTCACATAACTGAGCTGCATTTCCCATCATCCTCAGCCTGAAGCAGTATGCTGGCACTGACAAAGGTCAGATTATGCAAACAGCAATAGAGGAACAGTGTTGATTTTGCACTCTGTCTTCCATATTGAACAGACTGAACTTATTAAAGTGAGGAAAGATCATCATTAATGAAAACATTTTTCCAGAGAGAAACTTTTCTATTCATTCAAAATAGCTTTTTTATGAAAATGAATGTAATTTTGCAATAATAACATTTGCTAATTTTCAAACAGCTGAATTTCTAATACTAACAAAAGATGCGATCAAGATGCATTGTGGGAAGTGTGGGATCCAGTGCCTTTGGAGCTTGATTCACATTAGGTGCTATGTTCACTTTACCTGCTGAAGTGACCTAAGTCTGATGATCGCTGTCAGAACATTCAGATCACAGTTCATGTGTTTTTGTCACTTCCTTGTCCACGGTTGAGGAGATTGTCATCAATCAGTGTCAGCCCCTCACAAAACAGTAAAAATAAACATAGAAACAGAGTCAGTTGAGAGATGGAGTTTAAAATGTTTGGATATTTATAGTTATATTTGTACACATATGACTCCAGTTGTGGTTAATCATTTATGAGACTGATCGAGATGCCAACATTTATTTTGGTGACCTGTACGAGGCTTGGCATTGCACCTACAATGCTTCTTATGAGTCTCCCTGTTTACAGGAAGTTAAATATTAAACCTCTAGAGTAACCCGTGGTGGAAGTACTCAGATCCCTTACTTTAGTAAAAGTATTTATACAACAGTGTAAAAATACTCTGCTACAAGTCCTGTATTTAAAATGTTACTTAAGAAAAAGTACAAAAGTATTAGCATCAAAACATATGTAAAGTACTAAAAGTAGAAGTACTCGATATGGAGAACGGCACATATAACATTAGTGTATATCACATTATTGGTTTAGAATTACTGATGCATTATTGTGTATAATATTAAATGTTGCTGCTGGTAAAGGCCAAGCAAGTTTTAACCATGTATTTAATTTGAGCAACTAATACAGATTCCACCCAACCTAAGAAGTCTCACTTCCCTTCTAAAAAGGTCCATAACCATAAAATGCGAGTAAATACTGGAGAGGCCTTTGAAGGACAGAGGCAGCTTAGAGCCCAGGATCTTAAGTCAGACGAGATGGCTAGTTCCCCCTAAACAGGTATGAGCTTCAGCTTGGTCTAGCTAACCTGAACTAATTCAACAAGGCTTCCGGTAGGAATGGGCATTTCAACATGTGAATGCTCACATTCATTCTCTGTGGTTTGTGTGCAGCTGGGTTATCAAGGCAGCAAATATTTGAGACCCAGAGATGGTGAAGAGTATCAGCAGGTGTGTCTGGATGAACATGGGGTGTGTGCAGGTACATTTTGGGCATGTTGGTAACATGAGGGCACACAAAGTGACTGTGCCACTGACCTGAAAAACCAGGTCTGTGGTCAACAGTCAAACCATCATTGCTAGTTAATGGGCACTTTGCCCGTGATGTGATCATGCACCTTCACCTCACGCACGTGCAGATCTGTTTCCTCTGTGGAAAGCAATCCACCAAACGTTCAAACTCACACGTCTCCTGGAAGGATTATTAATAATCAAACCCTAAAATCTTGCAAAAGTATTCTGACACTTTGTTGTGCTACTCCAAATAATTATCTTTGATTTGATTGGCAAATTAAATTGATTGAGCATATTTTAGAAAGGTACACATTATAGTGTTAGGTCCCACTGTTCACACAGCATGTCAGGGCAACAACTGAGCCAACAAGTCTAAGGATCTCTCTGTAGATAGAGCAGGACAAACTGAATAATTGGGCAAGAAGGGCCTTGTTCGAGGAGGTGACCAGTAACCTGACAGTCACTCTAAGAGCACTTCAGGCAGTCCTCTGTGGAGCTGAGGAGCCTGATGGAAGGACAAGCATCTCAGCAGCTCTCCATCATTTAGGCTTTTATGGTTGAGGCAGAGGACGGCTGTTTAGAATTTCTCAAACAGCTTTTGAAGGACTAAGAGCACAAGGGAAAATATTATCAGGTCTGATGAGACAAAAACCAAACCAAACCGGCATTTCAGCAGTAATGTCTATCGGCCTGATGGGGGCACCATACCTAAAGGGCAACATTTCACCATGGCTGATCACTGGATGGACAGATGATAATGCTCAGTGTGGAGTTTTACTTATCACCCTAATAAAAATGATCTGAATCACTTCTCACTCTCAATAGAAGTTACAAAAGGAGAAGGCATGTCCTTGCTGTACCAAATACAAAATAGTCACCTGCAAAACAAATTTGATTTACTTTGATGTTACTCATAAGATGTAAACTGCATTCAACCTTGGCAGAGTCACGTGATCAAAATATCTGACAAAGTCTGAGAAAAAGTGTTTTTTAAAAGAAACTGTGACTGTTGTTACCCAGGGACATCACGGAAAGGCTGAATTGTGAAAGAGTG